TTTTTTTTTTTTTTTCAACAATTTAACTAACTGCATGATAAAGATACCGTATACCATCTCACAAACGCCTTGTAGTCTTTTTTAGATTCTCTATATCAGCATTTTAATTTGCGGTTAGTTTGAACACATTTCCAAGCGACCTTCGTAAAGTTCCGTTAAAACAATAACTTATGGCACCTGCCCTGGTAAGCCTAATTCCTCCCTTCAACAAATGAAATAGCAGAGGGAAGATCTGTAAGTAAATATACAGAGTACGAGAGATGTACAAAGGCTCGCTTTCTCTTTCGTTGCTCATCGCAACCTCCTTTAGTTTAACAAACCGTTGTACTGCTGCTCCGTTAGTAGCGAGCTGCTTCGATGAATTTAAGAGCAAATGTCACCAAAAATCGAGCAAAATTTAAATCTGGCGGCAGAAGTCGAAAAATCGATTATTCTCTCTTTTCGTCCACAAATAGCCCTTCCAAGGCAGATATGAAACGTGATATAGTTTTTTTGAGCTCGAAGCGCTTTCAATTCGAGAAGACGATTTTCGACTCGACGGTCGCCAAAATGGCAACACGGCAAAGGCTGAAAAGTAAAAACCTAAACTTAATTTGCGTTTGCGTGTAAAGCGGGAGAACCACAATTTATCGATACTTTTTCTTGAAAGACAAAGTATTCAGCTATCCAGAACAGGTTAGAACTTGACTTGAGCGCCATTCGACAATAAACAAACAAATTTTTAAAAAATCCCTTTGAGTTACCAGGTCAAATTCGTAATTTACGAATAAAATTCAGAGATATTTTTCGACATGTGCCATAACTTCAAATTACTTGAAACTTTGCCTTTTGAATACTTTAATGCTGTTGTAAAACATGTATTAAGACCAGTTTGGATTATTCTTCGAGTGTTCTTTGAGGTCCGGCTGAAAAACTCCGATTTTACCTGAAACATCACGAAAAGTGACTAGTGCGCGTTGTTCTGAGGGCAAGCGGGTATCTAGGCGTTTAAAGTCCTTGTATTATTAGTTCTTTGTACTGATAAGCAAATTGCTTCCCTGTACTTATAATATAAGGGTAAAACCGTGATTCAATCTCAACGTCAAAGTAACTGTATTTCTAAATACAGTTTCTCGCTTTCAATGCCAGACATTTGTGAAGAGGTGTCCATCGGATTCCACACCAAGCTCTCTTGCGATCTCAAATTGCAACAAGAGTCGCATACTTATCACAACTTTGGTTAAGCCTACTTCGTCCAGTGTACGACTTCCAGAAACTATTATATTTTGACGATGGTATTTGTCCTCTAATTAGTTAAATGAGAAGTACGTCTTCGCTCTCCACCAGTTGTCGCCAAATCGTTAGTGAACGTGACCCAAATTTTAGACATTTTTCCAGGGTGGGTTGTTTACAAAAGAGCGGCAGTTTATTTCCGATACAGTAACCGAAGGCGATCAAATTACATAAAAATAACGGTTTTGTGTTATCTTTTTTCTTTCTTTCTCTTTTGTCTTACCTGAAGACGCTGCGCTGATAAATCACGTGCTCACTAAGTACAAGGTCACCTCGGTGATCGATTGTGCTCACCGGTGCATACGCGAGTCCAGGTGCGTTTCCTTCAACTACGAGGATCACGCTACGTCGCTACGACACGTGTGTCAGATCAATGACGAGAAAAAGCAAAAGAACTTTGAAAACTTCATTGGCCTGGATGGCTTCAGTTACTATGAGTTTGAGGTAAGTTGTCGAGGCGTCAAAATATGCACACCTTCAAAAATACGTTACTCTAGGATAATGATGCTATAAAATGCATTACAGTGTAGGCGAAAACAGCCTACGTGAAGATGTCTCCCGTTTTCTTTGCTTTACCACATGGGTATAACGCCGCACGGGTTGAGATTAGGACCCGGGGCACACTGGTAGGAGGCTGGCGAGCGCTCTCATCACTACGTCACTCCTTAGTACCCAACATACCTTGAACAAGGTTGCTGTTTTAATTTATGATAACATTAGCCGGCCACGATCAGAACGGGAGACTCTAGTTTAAATATAACACCGCTGCCTAACTAAGAGAGTTCTTCATTCCTCCTACCTCGGGTACGATCTACCTGGCATGTCTGACATGGTTGACACAGACATCACTTTTCAAAAATTTCCTGACTTTTCCCTGATACAAATAAAATTTCCCTCGCCAAATGAATACAAAATGTCAGATCTAGTAGAGGCTATAGCCACTCTCTGCATTCGTTCATTAAGACTGGTCATTTTTAACTAACAAATTTTCCTTCTTTATAAATTAAAAATATCTCTGAGCAAAATATTATATTCTTCTGCGTTGAGATAAGAGTGACCCCAATGTTTCTTTCAGCCTTCAATGGTATTTTAAAAACCAGCCGTTTTAAACAAAGACAATCGACCAGTAACTGAATCTCTTTTCTATCTTCATTCTCAGCAGCCTTTCGCATGCGGTGTTGGTTGTCAAAATGGCGGCACCTGTTTGGAGCAATGTGACGGAAACCGTAAATGTATCTGTACAGAAGGATACACCGGAGTACATTGTGAAAATATTCTTACAAAAGAAACATTACGTAAGAAGCACAACAAAAACCTCTCATTTGTACTCATACTTTCAATCTACATTATCAGGTTTATGCCCTTTACGTGCTAGTAAAACGTACACCCCGCAACCTTCACTACAAGCGCATTTTAAAACACTTTACATGTCTGACAGAAGTTTAATCTTTTTTACAGCCCTTAATGTGACTGCCGTGTCCTGTAAGGAACTGTATGACAAACACAAGTAAGTTCACAGCTAAATTCCGTTTTGACAATTAAACAGATTCGCTCACCTCTCGATTCACTTCCTACAGTACTTCAGCTCAAGATGCTGAGGCAAATCCCTATCTTTCCTTTATTTTATAAACACTACTGTTTAGGAAGAGAGATTATTTTGCAAGCGATTTGATCGAGCAATCCACAGCGCAACTGAATTCAGTTTCAGCAGTTTATTACTCTAATATTTTAATCACTTTTAGCCCTAATTGTTTGTTCAACAATACTATACCAGTAATTGCAAGGTATTTAAATTGTTTGGAGTTCTACTCGTGCAAACCATGCGCTGCACGTTTCATTTCAGCAGCAAACGAAGCTAACCGGCCAAGTTGTGAACATGTGGAAACCCAGTGAAGTGAGCGAGATGAACAGCGTATGTCACTAGATTGAGAAAATCCTCTGGTCGTTCAGTAATAATTTAACTGAGAAGTGGCGTGGGTTCTTTCACTTTGTAAAGATTAAGAAACCTCATCTTCCACAATCCTCTCCATTCTTCTCTATAACAGGTTCAGAGAGGTACAAAAGGTACAAAACCGGTATGACTGTGGAAACTCGATATATCACTAGACTGGGAAAATCCCCTGGTCGTACAGTAATAATTTAAGGAGTGGCGTTGGGTTCTTTGACTTTACAAGGATTAAGAAGCCTCATCCTCCACAATCCTCTTTTTTGTCCCCTATAACAGGTCCAGAGAGAGTCAAGTGTATCCACTGATGTTTAGTGAGCAGACGATTCCTGTTTATTGTCACATGGAAAACTTTGGATGTGGAGATGGAGGATGGACACTAGCCATGAAGATTAACGGCAATAAGGTACAAACCTCTCCCCACGCCATGTGTTATATGAACATTATAAGCATTTTAAAATTTCAACGACATGAAAGCTAATATTTTCTCTTCAATTTCAGACAACTTTCCATTACAATTCTCACTTTTGGAACGACACGAGAGGTTATAATCTTACAGCAGGTCGGAGTGGGTTTGACACACAAGAGACCAAG